GCATGGAAAAGTCCAACATTTAAAGGCAGTATTTGTGAGTTTCATTGGTTATGTCATACATTTGCAGAATTTTTTTGCTACTTTCCTTTAGTGAAAATACTCTTTAATCATTTCTGGTTCGTTGGTTTAGAAGCTTTCCACCGATGAACTCTGTGAGTGTTGGTAACCTCTGGGGGTTTTTCTATCTCACGGAGAAGATCAGTTTATTTACCGACATTATACCAATCTAATCCCCCAAAAGCAAAGGTATTCTGATGTGATTTGCGCACAGAGCCGGACATCTTTATTCTAAACTTTAAGCCAAAGAGAAGCTGTAATAATCGGCTGATTCCAGAAAGATAATGAGAAGCAGTGGAAATCTGTGAAATTAAGAATCAGTTTTAATTTTTTTGGTTTGTTTTGTATCTATGGCCTTGTAACTATAACACCCCCAGACCTCCTAAGGGTCACATCTTCCTATCACACTCTCTGGATGGTCAAGGAGTAAGCCAAAAAAACCTGCGTTCTTGTTGTTTTATTTCAGGTGTCTTTGAAATGTAATTTTTTCTTTTATTCCACTATAATTTACAAATCAATAACCATACATGGCTTAATCTAACATCTCTCGAGGTAGATATTCTGATTCTCTGATTAAATATGCCGTTTCAGACAAGCTGACCAGGTGTTTAAAAATAAGGACATATGTCTTAGATCCTGCAGAAATTGTATTCATTTTCTTTGATAGCTTTAGAAGCCAGTTGCAAATTGATCCCTGACAGTACAGTAAAGCTTTTGGATATAAAGAGTGTGTCAGGCTCGCTTGCTTCTCTGCCAAAGTGACGCTGCACGTGTTACTTTCTAGCATGCTGCATTTGAAATCCGTTTTTAGCAGAGTGACTATTGACAATGCGGTTCATCATGAATGTTTGACATGTGTGCCTACAAATCAAGCTGTATGAAAATAAGGAGCCCTGAGTGAGCTTATAAATCACAGAGTTCCTCTCTGTTTCTCCACTGCACGGAGTAAGAAGCTGTGTATAAGGAGTAGATGTGGCCACTGTGATCTCACCCAGTAGTTTATGGATGCCACCATCTTTTTCTCTGCTTTTTTTAGCCTGTAGCGAATCCCTGCGCATCTCAGAACACTAAGATGACATTTCCTTGGCCCTCGATTCTGGGTCGAGATGGAAGTAGTGAAAAGCCAGCCATATTTCGGGGTTTACTGGAGCTGGAGGATCAAGGAGAGAGGAGGGAAGTCACAAGGGAGGATGCATGAGAGCACTGTAACAGATTTATGCTATATTTTTAAACAGGATATACAGAGATAAAAGCACAGTTACTGTGTGTCTTAGTAGAACTACAGTGGACATGTGGAGCTGAACAGCTTTTGATATCAGCTGACAGCAGATCAGCAATGATCATCTGATGCTGTCATCATCGACAGACCTTACGGAGGGAAGGACGTTTCACTCCTCCTCAAACACATTCCCTCGTTCCCTCGCTCTTCACTCCACGGCGGACATATGGACCAAAGCAACTGTTTAAGTCAACCGACAGCTGATCGGTGATGATCAGCAAATGCTGTCATCACAAAAGGATGCTACTTCACATGATGCGTCAGAGGAAAGGAAGCCACATGTCTCTTGATACACAATCCTTCGTTCCTACTCCGCTTCATTTTTCGACATCTCTTCATGCATCTCTGGTGGGAGGGATTAAGATGCAAGCAGAGGAAAACAACTAAAGAGATCCATAACATAGCAAGTATGTGGACAAGAGAGTGAAGCTTGAGAGGAACAAGGTGTGTGAAACACTCAGCTGCAGGAATCACTCATGCTAGCTTGGCGATATCAAAGATGTTCATTTGAATGCAAAGTTTGCAAAACCAAATGAACAAAGGATCAAAAAGAGAGCGAATACTAACAACATATTTAAAAAAGACAATTTCCTGGTGTAGAAAATGCTTTTAATAGTGATACAATACATATACATACATACGACCTCCAGCATGGTGCTGGAAATCCGGCTCTGGATTTTTTTTCTTTTTCTAAATCATGTCCAAAAAAACAAAAAAACAGAAACCCTAGTTAGTTACATCCTAATGGAGAAGACGCAGAAGTGGAAGAAGAAAAAGACGCATCAGCGAATGGCAAATTTGAAACGATGGATGCCAAGTACATCAATCCAGGAGAAGAAACTGTGATATTCGAAGCTGGGCTTGAGCAGAAGAGGCTGGAAAAGATGGAAAGCCTCATGGTAGATGGTACCGAAAACTAAGAGAGAGAGGTCGTGTGCGGAAAAGCTTATAAATGGCAGCAGTGGGAAGAAGTTTGCTAAAGTTGGAAAGATTTTCACAGATTTGGACTTCCGAGATCAACACCTCTGAGATGAAACGTTGTCTAAACACAAATGACGCCTCTTTCATGTCGTAATAGCACAGACTACTAGCTACAAGAATCAAAAACCGATTAGTTTTCCAAAAACATGCCGTTCTTCAAGCTGGATGAATAATACTGATCTCTATGCACAGCCGGGTGAGGGATCGTCTGCAAATTACAATCAAGAGCAAGACGCTGCACACAAAAATCAATAGCTCTGCTGTTATACAGTAGAGACCCCAAAATCACCAAACACACCAAAGGACTCTTCATACTACAACAGCTGTTTTAGGAAAATGTGCCTTTTTATAATTTTGGTGAAGTTTTATTGTTATGAATCATTAATATCTTCCAATATTAATAAAAAGCTCCACTGTCCTATAGTGTGTGCACAGGATTTTTTTTCTGCTTCAAGCCCTGCAACCAAGAAGAAGTAGGGTTATTTCCTAGTTTTGCAGCTGGTGAAGCTGCCCCTTGCTGGCTGTTAAAAACACTGCGTGTCCTTTGTTAGATATTTCTTTAAAAATGTCTAGACTTCCTCGCAGTTATCAAAATTGACCATGTAATGAAAGGTAAGAAAAAGGAAAAAGTTTACATTAAAATGAAACTTGCACAAACACTTTTAACCTGAACTTTTTTTTTTTTCGATAACAAAACTACAGTAAAGTAATGTGGAGTTTGGGGGGGATATTTTGGTAGTCTTCCCTCTGACAGTGAGGAAATGTATGCTGACACAGCTCAGCGTGTTTCAAGGTTGTGCTGAAAACGCTCCCACCGCCGTTTATATTCCAGGAGAAGACGGGGAGAGTGATATTGATTCAGCCTGGGAGGGAGGCGAGGAGGTGGCAGGCTGAGGAAAGTGAGAAAACTGAGGTTGAAAGGTGCTCAGCTGGTGATGCTCACAAACAGGAAGCTCGGTGATTGTATAAGTGGATGTGATCAACGCCCCTGCTGTGGAGCCTGAACACATTTTATAGTGCTGTGCATTAAAACTGTTGATGTAAGTCGATTAAAAGAACAAGAGCATGGCTCCTTTTGAGCTGTCACTTTGTAGACACAGGATTTGAAAAACAATAAGAGACCGCTCTAAACTTGAATCAGCTCATCCGGATCCTAAGTCGTGTTTCTCTTTTAATATTCAGTCCTTTTTTCATGTCTGCACCTCCTCCTGCCACTCAGTTTGTCCTCAAACTTTTTCTGCTAATAGAGGGGAAAAAAATCATACAGACAGAGGAAAATACAAAGAACTATCTTGGATCCCAAAGCGCTTATAAGTTACGCACCACTAGAAAGTATATTAGCGTCAATCGATGCAAGTCTACTCAGCCTTTTGACTGAATACTGCAGGAAAAGCTGGTTCGAAAGCTAGGCTACAGTTTTCTGCAGTGTAACGGAGAAATGAGTTAAATTTGATCGACTTTGACCTGGTTTAACTGTACGCTCCGCCATCAGAAAGCATGTTCGTGTTTGCACTATTTGCGGTGCAATACAGATGTGTGCATCAATCAGCTGTTTGGGTCTGTAGGTTCAAACAGACAAAATACAACCAAACTAAAAGAGTGATTCTGACAGCAACAGTTTTGCCAACCTAGCGACTTTTCAGTCCCCCCCAGCGACTTCTTTTCAAAAAAGCGCTTAGCAACAAATCTAGCAGTTTAGAGACTCTACGGTGAAAGCAGGTATTGATGTTACTGTTATCATATAGTGGGTTTGACTGAGAAATTGTGCAAATCAGGCGATGATGTCATCTAGCGACTTCTAGCAACTTTTACGACAGCCAATAGCCACTCTCCTTACTGAGGAGTTGGCAACACTGGACAGCAACGTGGACATGCTGTTTGTTGCAGACACAAATGGACAGGCATGTTTATGCGGCGACTATAAAAAGTGGAAAAACAAATAGTTTTTTCAATGTTCATTGCTAACAAAGGTGAGTGCTGTCATCAGAGTCTCTCATAATTAGCTAAATAAGGTGGAAGAGACACTCTCACCTGCAGACAACTGTAGCATAGCTTTCATCACAGTTCCTTTTGCAGCTTTTCCTTTCAGGGGCTGAACTGACTGGTACAAATGTGGTCAACACACCCACATGTAACTCATGAAACCTCACTTCAAAAATAATAAAATATCCCTTTAAGTAGAATATTTCAGCCGTCTATCCCCACCTGGCCCTTACTTACCTGAATCCAGTCATTGAAGCAACTTGTCCCTGGTCTTGAAGTGAACTATTTCATTCATGAAACACGTACATTCATTCAATATTTTTAATATAATCACATTAATCTTTTGTAAAGTCCCTCTGCTATGAGTTGCTGGTATTAAACCTACCAGTTCATGTCAGGACAGAATAGAATTTCTTGGTATCCATAATGCCAGCAAGAACTATTTAAAAACTTTTTTATTTTTCTGTTTTGTAATCCAACATTTATTCTTTGCTGTTTTATCTTCATTGTGACCAAGCATCCAAGGTTGTTTGAGGGAGTATAAACCCTGTAACTAGACTGCTTCAGACGAGGCCGATCCCAGCACAGGTATTCATGCAGGTGAATAGCCTCGTAGAAAAGAGAAGCCTCATTCACACGATGTTATGAGAGTCTGGCTAAAACAAAGAGACGCCACCATCTGCAGTCTGCCAACGCGGTTCTAGCGCTGCCCCTCTTGACCTCGGTGAAAACCCATCGGGCTCCATTCACTCTCTGGCCTTTTCAGCGCGCATACTCTTGCATTGCCAGTAATGATATTGGTTTCTCTCAACGCCGCTTTTGAGTGGTGGCCGGGTCTCAGGACTCTTTTGTTGCACGGTCTGGATGCTGAAGTATCTCTTACCCAGTCTCCAGCCAACACACACACACAGTGCACAGAGAGTGCAGAGCCCCCTGTAGACCACGGCTTTCTCTTTATAGACCACTGCAGCCTCTCTTCCTCCGGAGACAGGCGCACTGGGCCTGCTCTTTCCAGCAGATGATTAATCTTCTCATTATCTGACATCACACTCAAAGTAGAACTCTATTTTCAAACAGGTTGCTCTTCCTGCTGCTGGTGTGCAAAAAAAAAAATCTGCAATATCTGAATGCACAGAGCAACTGGGGATTGTTGAGCATGGAAGTATTTTGCTTAACTAACCCCAAGATAATACAGAGTGTGTTAGATTCATCCATGCACATCATGTGAAAAGTTGTTACAGCAGCAACAGTGACCTACATTTTACTTATTCTCCATCATATCAAAGAAAAGTATTATTTGTTTGCAGCCCATGTATTTAACTATGGGGGAACTTGGACCTGTGTATGGAAATAATAGATGCACAGAAAGCTTTGCAATGGTTCTGTTTGCTGATTGATTTGAAGACATTGTGTCCATAAAGATCCATGAATTACTTCTGATTTTCAAGAGGCCGTATGATCTTCCTCAAGTTGTCTCTGATCCGTCTTACCATGGAATTGCACGGTTTGATTTCTCCTCTTTCTCGGGTAAACTACCTCAGCATAGATGCCCCCAGTGATGGGAATTTTTTTCTTTGTGACTCAGCAAGAACAGACTCTTTTAGCTCTCAAACAGCTTTTAAAGCATGTTGACCTTTTTTTTTTTTAATAATATATATATCACATATTTTATCTTATCACCACTCCAAAGGTTTACTTTCATAGTGGAGACACAGTTAAGTTTGATGTTTGTTCTCACTGCTGGTTTTTCAAACACATATACTCTTCTCAGGTTGTGCCTAATTTCCCTCTTTGTAAAAACCTTTAAAGAATACTGACAGGTAGCTGACGGTTTTTAAGTCTAGACACCATTTAGGTTATTTTGAATTCAACCGTGTCCCTCAGCCTTAGTACTTTCAGTTTGATGTAGTTTCTTTGTAGGTTATCTGGTTTGTCTTTGTTTGTTTTTTTCCAACAAAGTCTTTGATCAATTATTACTCCAAAGAACTTTATTTAGAAACTCTTATATTTTTATCTTTTCTTTCATGAGTTTTCAACTTAAATTACAGGGTTTTTCCTGGCTCAAATTGAGGCAGAGGTGGCACCATCCTTACCATGCGCCATGACGTGCATATATTTGTAAATTCAACCGACTCACTTTCTTTTACAGGCAACATACTTTAAGTTAAGAGTTCAAAAAAGAGTGTGACCATTATTATGTTAAAGCATTCATTTATTAAAGCTATATACATACACAAATCAGCTGGCAACTTTAAATTGAAAGTACACTTCATCCACACATCTCGCAACCAGACAGAACATTTCAGCCTCCTCTTTTTCATTCTGTAGAACCTCCTCATGCACTCCTTGTAGTCCAAGGCCTCCTGGTCTGGTCCATCAACAGCCACCTTACAACAGACATCCAAGTGCCTCTCCTTCAGTCTGTTCCACAGAGGTGTCTTCACCTTAAACAAAACAATTCATCATGCATTAAGTATTTTTGTTTTTATTCTGATACAGACATGAAGAGTGATAGTGTTTTCAATCATATATTATATATATATATATGTATACGCTGCAGTGTCCTCCCTAAAAAAAAAACGACAACTAAAGATTTCTTAAACTATGTTCTTTTAGTTTTATTTATTTTTTATTAATTATTAGTTATTATTTATTAGTTGAGTGTTTTTAGGTACAACCATCTTTAATATATTTCTCCTTCTCTTCTGCTGCTTTGTGAACGGCTATCACCTCATGTCTTTTTAATGTGTCCAGTCTGTAGTTGGTTGATGGCTGTCTCACTAAGGAGGCAGCAATTGCCTGCTGTGTTGGGGCACAGTGCTTTTGGCATAAATAGCAGTGCATGCCTTCCTCAGTATGCCTGAGCCAGGTAAATTGATTGAGCCATTGCTTGTCAAAGCCACTGGCTCTGTGTTTTTGAGAAAATCTGGAAAGAGGAATAAAAACCACGTACACGTTGGCTTTGCGTTGTTATGCTCCTAATTGGAAACTAATTAATTAATTACCCTCGCCTCGCCGACTCGTCCTGTCCTGCATTCTGACCCTCGCGATCACCAGTCCCTTGTGAAGTACTTTCAGACCTGACACAAATTTCCACGTTGTCACTACTATGAATTATAGCATTTTAACTGCCTATTACGTTTTTTCTCTGCTGTGTTTCACCTGGACTCTTGACTTTCCTCCTTGCGAGGTCGCTTTTTAAAGTACTGGCTGATTTTGCCTGTCATATCTGCAACGCTAAAAAACGGAGGAAACTTTTTTTTTTAAATAAACACGTCATGCTTGGATGCAAAAAAGACAAGCAGTATTTACCTGTTTGTACCATCCGCCAGGGAAAATCAGGACGCCGATAGCACCAACTAGCGGGAAAAAAACTTGAAAAAACATGATTCGATCCGTTTCTTCTTCGGTAGAGGCTTCAGGTCTTTCCGGTGCACTGCTGTTGATATAGCGCCTTCATAGTGGCGCAACGCTGCAACTGCAGTTAAAATACGTTGCTGCAGCAGAGGGACATCATACACTCAATCAACACAGCTGGAGCTTTACGCTGTGTTGAGCGAAATCAATCGCTCTGGCCGGGGGCGGCACAAAATTAGGTGGAGGCGGCCGCCACGCAATTTTGAACGCAGGAAAAACCCTGAATTAGTCCAAGTACCACATCATATGCATTTAGTTTTGCTAACATTCTGTGTTCAGTCACTCAAATCAAACCAACTCTTCCATTTCTTCAACTCCTTTCCCACAGTATCCAACAGTTCACCCAACACTCATTCAGTTTTTGTCACCTGCAAACAAATTGTTTTGACAGTATTGGAAACTTTAAATTATCTAATAATATAAAAATGAAACAACAGTGGCCCCAGCATGGAACCTTGGGGAACCCCACATTTACTCATCACTGCTAAAGTTCCAATTTAATATTCAAATCCACGCGTTTAGCTCCATCAGGTAGAAAGAGTGAGTTTAGCAGTTCTTCACTTCACACTAACCTGCAAAAACTCAGAGAAGTTGAACATGAGGACAAGGCCGGCCATATTTAGTGGTTATCATAACAGAGTAAGTCCTCCCTCCTCTTTGTGGTCTGAAGAGCAACCCTCACGCCTCAGACTGTCAGCTCTGACGATCTGCACGTCACCGCTCGATTACAGCACTCAAACAAACAGGTTACAACAGCAAAAGCAGCGAGAGTCACACAAAGTCTCTGGCAGTGGCACAGACAGAACTTTCTTTTGAAATGAAGATCAAAGCTGCGTCGGCAGCGTCGGGCCTGGCAGTGCACAGAATATTCATGAATATGAGACATCTGTCAGCTACTAGACAGCGTCGCAGGCGGGGAGGGGGGAAGAGAGGGAGGGAGGTGACATTTGTCTCCCAACAATGAGGGCTGGGCTTCAAATAGGGAAGTGAGTAAACATCCCAAGAGCAAATGCACGGGTGCTTTAAGTCGTCTTGAGAGGGACTTTTGTCTCATCAGGATTTGAAAACAAGAACGTGACTACGAGGCATTCCTGTTCTGGCTCCTATATGTTCTGTGAATCATGACAGTTTTGCATATTACCTATTTCGCTTTGTGATTGTATCATTATTTATATACCCTCTTTTTCCTCAAATGTTCATCCCCCTGAGTCTGCAGAACACCGTCCTTCCTCCAGGCACTGCGAGCTGAATTTAAAGGCAACAGCAATGTCATCACAGATTTAATTTTCATATTAATAAACACCTTTTGCATATCGTCCTCAGCTTTATAGCCTGGAAAGGGGGTGAACAGTGCAGAAAAAGAGGAAATAACAACAAGGATCACATGCTCAGGTTACCATGGTGTTTTGGAGAGAGGATCCCGGGCTATAATTTAGATTGGAGGGTGGTCGCAGCCAACAGCAGAGCTACAAAGAAAAACCCACACCTGCTGGGCGGATGGGAGTCTGAGGGATGCCAGCGGGTCTGGAGAGGTCATATCTGGAGGAGGATGACATCCAGCAGTGACACATCCCACTCCAAACACCTGTGATAGTATATGAAAAGAGAAATGTCAGCAGAATGAATATTTTCTGTTTACTACACTTGGTCACCGATGAAAGTCAGTGAGCTGGTTTTAACCTCAGAAAACATGTGAAGTATCTTTATCTCCTCAGGGCTGAATGTAGATAATATGTTTAGAATTGTAAGAGTACAGAGTGTAAAATTGGTGCAATTAGTGATGTCTAGTTCTTAGAAATCCACCATCAGTGAAGCTACGGTGGCCTTTGAAGACAAAAATCCCCAATTATGCATGATGTGTGTGATCCTCCTCCATCCTTGTGTATCAGTACAAATTCATGTGAGCATAACAACCTCTCTTTTTTCTTCTTTATTTAACAACGGGATCGTTTTCATAGCTTTTCTTAAAGTGCTAAACTGAAACTGGACGAAAATGTTTTGACTTTTTATCGACTGAATCTATGAAAAAAAGACTAAGAATGTTGTGACCTTTTATCAGATCAAAGAATAACACATTTTTTTGACTTTCCATCAACAAAATCTAGACTAAAATATTGGACTTTTTATCTACTTAATCCATACCAAAAATAGACTTCAAAGTGATGACCTTCAACAATCAACTCAAGACTTAAGTGTTTTAGGTGCTTTTTGTCAACTGAAAATGGACATAAAATCGACTAAAATGTTTGACTTTTCATTGACTGAATCTATACTACATCTAAACTAAAATATGACTTTTTGTCAACTTAAACTATTCTCAAACTAAACTGATGTTTTGACTTTTCCTCAATTAAACCTGGATTTGAATATTTGACTTTTCATTTAAAAAAAGTCAAATATTCAAATGGATCTGTGGATCTTTATGGTTCAAAATGTTTTGACTTTTTGTTGACTAAGACTGACTGAAAACAAATTAAACTCAGTGACTTTTCATCGACTTAAATTGAACTTAAATCGAACTTGAATGTTTTAACCCTTTATTGACTAAAACAACATCTTTACAAGGCTTAAATGTTTTGACTCTTTGTTGTGTTCTGGGTAAAAATGACGAAGGACTTATGATAATAT